AAATTAACACCGCCGCCACGCCTCTTTGACTCGTGATTTTTTTCTCCCCCTCCCCGCGAAATTAATTCGCAATTTCGAGCACGGTGAACACGGTGTCGCGGTGCATCTAGGGATCCCTAGATGTCAGCAACAATTTCTATCGTAAATCTTCTCGGTGGCGCGATCCTCCTCGAGGCTTAATTGTGCGAGGCATTCGAAGCTAATTTTTGTTGAAATGTTGTGCCAGGGTACGATTTTGTTTAACGATTTTCTGAAAGGTGCAGGCAGCAGTCGATTGTTGTTCAAGTATAGTATTTAAATTTTTAGAGGGGATCGAGGGAATCCTGCATCGAGTTTATGCAGGTTTGAGTTAATCCTTTGGGGGCGATGGCATATTCACAAGAACCAGGGATGAGAATTCAAATTTTAATGATTGAAGTTAAGAATAAAGTTGGCTGGGTAAATGATAACCACGCAGTTAATTGTAACGACGAAGTAGGCGAGGTTGTACAAAGAGGTTATGGCAGATTGCGAATAATTAAAGTAATTCCATTCGAAAATTTAACTAATTAATTTTTCAGCCATGATGTACACGAACTGCTTAACAAAGCAGTGAAGAGATGGCAGGAAGATTTAACTTAATAGTGATGACGTGCAGTTATTTCACTAAATGACGTACATATTACATCCTTGAGATGTAAGAGGAATCTAGCGACAATTATTCCCTCCAATGTTTCTTTTGCAATTTCATTTAAAAAGAAAACATTAAGAAAGTACATCTTAACAAGGGATATATAAATTTTGATTATCGATTGTAAACAAATCATCGATTCGATAACACTGTTAAGAATAAGAGATCTCTAAACAGTGATTTTGAATTGGATGTGGTGGAATTAATTAATTGTCCTTTCTTTCAAAGATTATAGATGATCTCAGATCGATCCATCATGGTTATCGAATACTGATTAGTAAACTTTTTTGATTCTGGCCGAGATTGGATCAAATGTTGGTCTTTTATTAATGACTTTAGCCAACCTTGAATCGAACCATCCCAAGAACGATGAATATAAGTGGAATGCTGATGAGAGATCCCTTTGTCCAGAGCAGTGACCGATTTCGAGTCGAATTTCAAAACTTGAAAACTTGATCAAAATCGATTTTTCCGCGGTGGAATTCGATTTAATTCGGCGCGTCGACACCAGAGAGCACCACTTTGAGCGTCACGTGGCCAATAATATTGTTGAACGCTGTGGTCCGAGGCCTCTTTATCAAGACAATGGGCTCTATCCAATCTTATAAATTGAACCATCTCGCAAGCATATGCCAATCAAACGCCAATCAGGGACCCTTTTATCCAGGGCAAGCGAACTCAACAGCTTTCGCGTCCCATTCTCGGGCAAAATCAATTAGCTTTGGATTCCAATAGGGTCTGATATCTGCTGATCTTTCGCTCGCAAGACCAACAACAAGAAAACGCACGCTCGATGTTATATCATGCCACGACCAATTAAATTTCGAAATTTCCATCGATGTGTAATCAGCAATAGGTTACACCTGTTGCTGGTAACAATCATCGAGGCATTCTCGAACGAGTAAGAGTAAGCGATGCTGGTATGATGCGTTAGTATCGTCCCTCTGTCGAGTCATTTTCGAGAGTATTATCGATCTTTCCGTTACGAGGTACGCTCTATCAATTATTCGTGCTTCGATTTTAATAATTCAAAGACGGGCCAGAGAGGCGAATGGATGGGCAATCTGATAGGGATTCGATCATGCTTTTGCGATTGTTAATGATTCTGTACAGAGGAGAGGAGGAGGGATGCACAATTTATTCGTATATAGAAGAAATTATTTCGAATAAGCGAAATCCAGAGATATGTTATAAATCGAGATTAATGGATAAGAAATAAAAAAGAATAAAATATAATGAAAATTTGGAATCATACCTTAATTAACTTGATATGGACAACGAATAAAGTTGAATAAAAGAATAAAAATCAATTAATCAATTGAAGAGTATAAGAGCAAAATTACGAAACGTTTGTAATTATGGGATATCCGGAAAAAACTCTGTAATATTCTGATAACAGTTGAAGAAGATGTAGATTTATAATCGTTGTTCCAATTCGAAATTTTACAACGTTTAATCATCGTTGACGTCTGAGTATATAACAGGGATTATTACGTTTGATAGATAACATTGTTACTGTTATTACGATTCCGCGGTTGACTGATAATAATGCCGTGCTGATGCGTTTTGCACGCGCCAACTTGGCATGGAAAATTATCCCCCTGCCATTCAACATGAATGAAATCTCATACGCACGTAATGAAATTAAATCGTTATTAATTAACCGACAAGATTGCGCGTCGAATATTTCAAATACATCTAAATTGGTTATAAAATGAAATAATTCGAGCCACATATCTAGACACTACATCGCATGGAAAGTATAGTTGAATTGACTGTAGAGATCGTTTCAAGTTATTTGGTCAGATCAATTCTAAATTTAAATTTTGGCATCGTTGTAATCAACAGTTATTTGTATCATAGAATCGATCAGTTTTCTTTGTCGTGGCTCGTGTTTTGACAATTGAATGGCTATGGAGATTTAAGATCTATTCACATTAATTGATATAACGAGTTATATGAGTTCAAATTATTTTTCTTATTCACTTTTGTGGTTCAAATTTAAAACTATTGTACGCCAAACATTACTTTTATCTTGACATTTTTATATCAATATTCAACTTTAATATAAATCCAAATAATTTGTTAAGATAAAATTAAAAAAACTTTTTTTACACCCAAATGAATCATCGTTATTTGCTGTCCTTAGAATTTTAGACATCGAGAATTGATTGAGTAATTTGAAAATTTTAATTTTGAAAGATCTTCATCAATAGAAGAAAATTATATATTCTCTACAAAATTATTTTGAACCATTCGAATCATTGAAAAAGATTCAGAAATTTAGAATTCTTTACCTCTGTTTATATCTTCTCTTATGCCATTACATATCGTGTAATTAATGTTCGCATTTAACTTGACGAAATTGAAATCTTCCATTATCTGTGAATTATTCGCAGGCAATGTGGATCAATTTTTAGAAATTGAAGATGACACTCATATCGTGTAAGAATCAAGAGTGACTTCTTTCACAAGAGATTGCAGTCATTCATACAGTTGAAGAACATAAAGCTAGAAACAAAGATTATGCACTCAAAAAATGTATAAAATATAAAGATGCATTCTTATTTTTTTATAAATTCTTCAGTTCCTTCCAAAAAATTCGTTGTTAACGTATCTCTAGGAACAGTCACGTGGACTCTGTTGAGAAATTGGTTACTATAGTATAAATTGCCAAAGTTGAATTGATGGAGATGTTTGATCAAGCAAATACACGAATCCTTATTTTTACCACAGATCGATCCTTATTTAATTACTTTATATGGATAGATTAAGAAGATATTTATTTTAAAACTTATTTAAAAACTTTTCATCTCTGAACACGAATTATCATTATAAAACTACAGAGCAAAGTGTACACGAAAATAAACCTGATGACACCAGTCATCGCATCCCAACAAAATCCAAGAAAGTTTCTTAATAATCAACGAGTGAATAAATGATATCGATTCGACATTCACCATTATTGTTAACAAACTATAATCTCTTTTTAATTTTTCACCTCTGAGAATTAACGCGAACTAATCGAGAATCGAGTTAATTGTTGAAGAAGACGACGCTCTTCGCCCACCACGTGGTTGGATAAATTCTAGTATTAAAGCCGAATATTAAATTGGCATTTCCGTGGAGGAACGAGGACGCTATTTAAGCGGGGGAGGGAAGGGTTGTTCGCCATTAGAAATTGCGCATTATTCGATTACTCTCGTTACAGCGTGAAGGGCATCGGGCATTCTCGAGTTCCGGAAAAACTTGAGGAGCACTTTAGAGGGTTCCTAGGAACATCCCGAGTGTGACAACGATCGATCAGGAATATATTCTTTCGCGCGTTGTTGCAAATTCAGCAAATTCAGAATATCTCTTTCTTTTTTTTTTTTTTTTTTTCTTATTTTTACAATCTGAAAGAGTAAATGTAGGGAATACGTTTGATTTATTAACAATATTGGAGAATAGTGAATTGTAACGTAATTTGTGAAACGTCAGGATTTTTATTTTTATATGCCACTTATATCGATTTACACACCAAAGTCTTAATATTATATATATTGGTTACAAAACAGATTCTATTTTACTATTATTGATTCTTTTGATTGAAAAAGAACGAATCAATGATTCCATTCTCAAACTTATAACTTTATTCAAAAAATGCACAAAATTAATAATAAACCTACGTTTAATATATTTTACGTTTCGTGCGTTAAATACGAAATTTTCTTTGCATCTTATCCCAATCTTCTTATCCCTAAACGCAATTGAAACTCTTCAAGATGAATAAAGAATCGCTGTGACGAAAGATCTGGCGACAAAATGCCTATCATTTTCCCAAAAATTATCACGTTACCAGACACCTCGATTGCAATTTTCGCACGAGGAAAAAACTGCGTAAATCCCAGTCTCTGTAAAATTCTGTAATGTAGTCAATTAACCCCCGCCATTATTGTCCATTAACGACCTCTCTCGGAAACGCTTAGAAACTTCTCTTTTCCAAACATCCATATAATATCAATTTTCGCGTGTTACTCGACGATCGAATAGTCGATTGCACGAATTCTCGTCTCGTTGTCACGGTTGGGATGGGATCTTTCTTTCGCAGAAAGGAAACCGGTTGTTGCGCGGAATGTGTCGAGAGATCAAACGCGATTTTTCGGTATACGTTCTTTCATGTACGTGCTTGTTTCGTTTCCCGGTTCGTTTTTGTCTGTGACACGCTGTGAGAGAAGTTTGCAAAATCGATCGTGTCCTCTGGTGGTGGAGAAGTACACACGTCGTACACACGTGCCCGATAATCCGCTTTGAGCCTCGGCTAACTCCTTTCATCTTGGGTGTTTTGCAGGTTGGCAGCGCAAGAGGCGGCACAAAGGGACCCTGGATACGCGAGTCAGTACAGGAGAAGGCCGAGGTTGGCCGGACTGAGTTTCGGTGACTGGACTAGCTTTGGAGGGGAGGTAAGGATTCGAGCTTAAAAAGCTTGGCCTCGTCAGAGACGTTTGTTGCAGATAAAAGATAAAATGGAAATGACGAAAAATCTTGATTAATCGGGAATTTTTAAAAAATAATTTCCTATCTGATTACCTAGATTGACTTCACATTTCTCGAGGACGAACTTTCCAACTTTCTTATTCTTCTGATCGCGCATAGGGAGCCACATAAGCTAATAAACTTTAAACTCCCTAGAAAGTGGCTCATACTTTCTATTAAGTTTCCAAGTTTCAGGCTTGATCGTAAATCTATCAAAATAATTACAGCGTGCATCGATAACATGCCTTGTTTCATTTACTGCATAATCATGGATTTTCACTTGCTTACTTGTACAAAAAAATATTCTCTCGTGTCTGCAAAAGGAGGAATAATAAATTAACTAAGAAGAAAGCATATCGAAAAAAGATATCCAAGAATGGAATGGAATTGGTGACAGGTACCTGGTCTGGTGGACATGGCGCCAGGCCGGGATCAGGGCGGAGGGGCGGGTGGGGGTGGGGGAGGCGGCAAGGGCACCACGTCGTTGTTCATCCTTTCGGAGGATAACTGCATAAGGAAGCATACCCGCTTCATAATCGAGTGGCCGCCCTTCGAGTACGCCGTCCTGCTCACCATCATCGCCAATTGCGTGGTCCTCGCCCTCGAGGAGCACCTGCCCAAGCAGGACAAAACCATACTCGCACAGAAGCTCGAGGCCACGGAAATCTATTTCCTCGGGATCTTCTGCGTCGAGGCGAGCCTCAAGATCCTCGCCCTTGGCTTCGTCCTCCACCGTGGCTCCTATTTGCGCAACATCTGGAACATCATGGATTCTTCGTCGTGGTGACCGGGTGAGCGAACCTCATTTTCATATACTCGTTCCTCCACACGTTATAATACTATACATACGTACCAGATCTCCCTTTCTCTCTACCTCTTTTCTTCTCTCTCTATATATATATCTCTATCTCTCTTCCTATCTCTCTCTCTCTCTTATCTCTCCTCTCTCTCTCTTATCTCTCTCTCTCTCTCTCTCTCTCTCTCTATTTTCGACAATTATTTTCCACGAAGCGAGAAAGATCCCTTCCTTCGTGTTCGAAAGAGCACGACGAACGAACTCGATCGATTTCAAGAGAGACACCAGATTCGTGATATGCACGAAGGGGGAGAAGAGGAGGAGGGATCGTTCTCGTATAAAATTCGCGAAAGTATACATACGAAGCACATATATATATATATATACTTTCGTTCCCTTCTATTTTTCACGTTACTTTGTTTCACCGCGAGCTCACTCATCATTTCATTCTCCTTTTCCTTCCTCTCTTCTCCTCCTCCTCTCCCCCCGGTGAAAACGAACGAAGCGCATTCTTGCTCTTTCCACTTTTCTCTCTCTCTCTCTCTCTCTATTATTTTTCTTCTTTATCTGTCTTCTTTCACTCGATAAGAATGCATCGCGCTCTCTCTCTCTCTCTCTCTTTCTCTCTGTCTTCATCCTCGAGACACAGCAGCGTGTGTGTTCCGAGAGAAGTGAAACGAGCGTGGAGAGGAAAACAGTGGACGAGGAGAATGTTACTTGGTCAGGCTTCTTTGATCGAGACATTTTTTTAAAAAGAACGAAAACGCGTTGCATCACACGATTAAAAAAAACACTCGCGGTTAACAAACGACGAATTATTCCTTATCCCTGTTCCCTTGATTTAAGCTCGCCTCGAGGAGCCTCCTGTCCACGGAGAAAGCCTTTCCATTTCTCGCGAAGGATTTAAAGAATTGAATTGTTTTTTTTTTTTTTTTTTCTTCGAATCTTTATATATCTTGTTGTGTATCTGTTGTATGGCGAGGAAGGAGGAAAGGATCTTTCTCCGTTGCAGAATTTTTAAGATTTAAGGAGATCGATCGGTTTTTCTCGGCCGAGCAGATAGATTCTAGAGTAATCCTTGGATTAGGTCGATGACCGTGTTCGCCGAAACAAACGTGGACGTCGACCTGCGTATGCTACGTTCCTTCAGGGTCCTCAGACCGCTAAAGCTGGTTTCGAAAATTCCAAGTGAGTCAGTCACAGTTCTGCGAAACGGCAAACGATTATACTAAAACGCCATTTAAGTAACAGTAACAGAGTTCAGTAACAGAGAACAGTCGAGCAAGCAGATTTTTTAATTATTTATAAACTAACTAACTAACTAAAACCCCGTTGTTCCTGGCAGTTTGTGTGCGTTCGACTAGTCTCCTTAGTTTTTTCTTTTTTTTTTTTCTTCCTCTTCTTTTTCTAAACGTTTAATTAAAAACAAGACACACTTAGTTTCCTCGTCGACCATTTAGTTTTTCTGTCAATTACTCTCTCTCTCTTTCTCTTTCTCTCTTTCTTTCTATCGCTATCTCTATCACTGTCTCTATCTGTCCATGTCTCTCTGTCTCTTTCTCTCTCTCTCTCTC